GCCGGTACGAGTTGTTTTCTGACTGACCATTTCATGAAACTGCTCGCAAAGAATATAAGTACTGTGAGCTTTTGCTGGACTAGCAGCACATTATCGGGGGATGGAGGTGTTTCAGTGGCAAGGATAGGCCAAGACAAACTGACTCCAGTATCTGTTGCAGTGACTGACCAGATGATAGGTTTGTTTGTCTCTGCTCTTTTCTCTGCTTTTGAAATGCATGTCACAAGGCACTGACTGGCAAAAGTCCACCACAAACCTTACGACAGAAGTATTGATCACCTACAAGGATGTCCATTCTCACTCCGAGTAAATAGGAGTGGTCCACCACAGACCTTAAGACAGATATTGTTTTTAATTCTGTCAGGATTCCCAGTTTCACGCTCCATGCCCTCTATGGGGCGGGGTTGCCGGTTGAGTCGACTTCCCGACCCATGAGACGGGTGGTACTGGTTTTATGGTTATCCAGTAGCAAGCAAACCAATGCCTGACCTGACTTGGTGATAAAATGTTCTCAGAACGTTGTAGTGAAAGGTTTATCGATCCTTCTCATTTTTTTAAGAAAGCCGCGACCTTTCAAAAACCACCTAATTGATGGCGAGACACCCGATACACGACCATTAATCAAACTCAAGCGTGCGTCATTTTTTTTTTACTTGATAAGATAAACAAAAGAAACAAACGAAGCCAATATTGTGAATTCGAACACTTATAAAAATCGTTATAAAAAGGTTCCAGTTGTAAACAAATCGGCTTCAAAAATGGATTCCTCTTTGTAGTGATTCATTATGAATCCAGATTATCAAATCGTTCGGTTAACTTGTGTTACTAAAAACAATGTTTCCCTAATAACAGGAGAGGATGGCAATGGAAAAATAACAACAGGAGCCATGATAACTTCCATGAACATCGCCTTACTAGTAGCCCTGTTCCTGCTAAACTCCGATCGTATTCAGAAAGCCATTGAGATATGCAACGAATGTTTAATTTTGCTAAACAACAGCGATCAAAACAGCAAAGATCAATTTGATTCAGTACTACTACATATTTACAACGACATCTATACAGTTCTTTACAGCGCTTATCGTCATATCTCTGACTACGTAAATGCGGCAAGATACGGCAGGAAACTGTTTGTCTTCTACAGCACGTCTGGAATTCTGTTTTATAAACGTGGCGAAAACCTAAAAGCGAAGGAGTATGTTACAAGGGCCCTTACCATAACGACCGAAATTGGCGACAAAAGCGGAGAAGCATCCTGTTACACAAATTTAGGTGCTGTGTTTCACTCGCTCGGGAAATACAACAAGGCTAAAGAGTATCTCCACAAAGCGCTTGTCATCACAACTGAAATTGGCGACAGAAAAGGAGCATGTTATGCAAACCTAGGTGCTGTGTTTCAGTCGCTCGGAGAATATGAGAGGGCTAAAGAGTATCTCTCCAAAGCGCTGGTCATCAGAACTGAAATTGGCGACAAAGAAGGAGAGGCAACTGACTACGGAAACCTAGGTGCTGTGTTTCATTCGCTCGGAGAATATGACAAGGCTAAAGAGTATCTCCACAAAGCACTTGGCATCGGAACTAAAATTGGCGACAGAAAAGGAGAAGGAGCATGTTATGCAAACCTAGGTGCTGTGTTTCAGTCGCTCGGAGAATACGACAAGTCTAAAGAGTATCTCCACAAAGCGCTTGTCATCATAACTGAAACTGGCGACAGAAATGCAGAAGGAAGATGTTATAAAAACCTAGGTGCTGTGTTTCAGTCGCACGGAGAATACGACAAGGCCAAAGAGTATCTCCACAAAGCGCTTGTCATCACAACTGAAATTGGCAACAGAAAA